CCCCAAAACCCCAAAACCCCAAAACCCCTATATACAAAGACTTTATTGAATAACTGAGCTGTTAATAGACTGTTATTACTAAGATTTGTATGGAATTTCCATATTATTAAGCGAACGTTCTACCTCTTTATTGCAAACTGAACTACATACGGTGCCCTCTTCTGCCGTTGAGTATGTCTTTTCCGTATAACCTCTGTGGAAGAAATTAGTTTCAAGATTTTATAAGTTACCATCAGTAACCCAAAAAAGCTTACCATATTGCTTGATTTCTGAATATTTGGGTGAGGCTTAGTATCTCCAGTGATTAATTTCAACTGCTCAAATTTCCTTGCTTCTTCGATATCACTGAACTTTCTTGTTCTTTTGGTTCTTTGTATTCTTAATGGGTTCTGTTGCTCTCTATGAAAGATTTTCCTATTGAACTCTAAAGTTTTATCGAGTTTCTTCAAAGGGGTCTTTCTATTTGATGGAATCTCTGGCAGAACAATGCTATCTATTTCAAGAGTTTTGTTACTAAATAATAAGACCTAAAAGCTCTTACTGGTTCCTTTTAACAGAGTTAGCTCCTAATCTTTGGAATTTATCAAATCTTTTTGAAGTTGGTAGTTTATTCCTCAGTCTAGTTGGATTCTGGAATAATAACTTGTTAGGGTTTTGTGGTGGATGATCAGCCAAGTTTGAGATAGTCATCCTCTTCTTCTTTAGCCTCAATTTTGCCTTAGGAAGTTTTGATTTCTCAATAGTTTCATCAACATGCTGATCAACACTAGTAGCATCATCCGTAGTCTCTTGACCTAAGATCTCATTTGACGGTTTATCTAATAAAAAGTGATGGCTTAAGTCTTCCTTGAATCTTTCAAATTTCTTATTGATTCTCTTAGGCAATGCAATTTTGCCAGAAATAGTACTAGCTTCCTAAATTTTCAGAAAGCGGTGAGCTTACCTGCATTTGTAAAGCAAGGGCGATCTCAGGCCTGTTCTTCCTAGCCTTACTTTTCTATAAAATTAGCAATAATATTCAGTACTGTTGGTCTGATCCGAATCTTCGATGAAGGCCTGGTGTCTTCATATTTTTCTGACAGCTTCTTTTGGATCCCATTTTGATTCCCAGATATTTTTTCATATTTTCTATTAATAACACAATTATGAATTTTTCTTATGCAATGTAGAGGAATGAATTTGCTAAACTTACTCTTTGTGCCTATCTGAGGCCCGCAGTTTTTGGGCATCGGACTTATCTGCCATTTGTTTAACTAGCTGCTGTCTTATCTTACCTAAAAGGAGTTAAACCAGGTCATTATTTTATAGTTGATTTAGTATTTAGAAGTAGCCAAATGGAATGCGAGGAGATATTAATTTTCTGCTACTAGCTAACCAGTCTTCCTACTTAAACGAATTTATAATCAAGACTTTTGTGGTTTTCTTAGATCAGGGAAATTTTATAAGGAGATGCCATATTTTGGAGGGCAAATGTTAGCTAAGAATTGAGGATATCCTTAAAATAGTAGTTTTATGTCATAACTTAGTCTCTATCTCTAAGCTTACTTTTTTTTGGATCTTCTATTTGGTGATGCTCCTTTTATGCTTTCTTTTAAAGACTTGTTAGAGTTACCAGAAGCAGAAGACTCTTTCATCTATGAATATTTTTAGAATGGTGGAAAAGAGTATTGAAGTAGGTAAGAAAATCCAGTAAATTATGAATCTTAGAATTAAATTTGGACGTACGCATTCAAGAACTTCTACTCATCCTTCGAGTGCATCTGAAACGAGTCTTACTAACTTCTTATTATTTTTAGATACTTTCCTATTGGGCTTAGCCTCTGTTTGAAGAAGGATTCAGTCCCTAGGAGGAGCATTACTTTCTTCCATATTTTTAGATGTATTAATCCATTTGGTCCCAGTTAGTGACTTATTTAATCTCTTTTTCTTACACTCCTTTGCCTTTTTTACTCTTTTAAGCTGAGGAGGTACAACACTAGTTGACCTTAACTCCAATGAAAGTTCGATTTCTGTGAATAATAGAGGAGATGTCTTTGAATCTGGTAGCACAAGGTCCTGATTATTAGAAGTCTTGCTGCTCCTCTCAGCCTCCTTCAGAGTATTTGAGAAGTTCTTACTATCACTTTTCTGACTGTTTAAGTCCAGTAAGGTGCTGTTTTCTTTTAGTAAGCCTTTGATAAAAGAATCGTTCTTGGAGCTATTGAATCTACATGAACTTAAAAATTCCGAGGTCATAAAAGAGTCCATTGAGTAACTATAATCATCAGATTTGTTATCTTCGTCCTCCTGAAGATTGCTCTGACCTGTTGCTAGCCTCTTCTTGAGGTCTTCGAAGCAGAGGTCGGATTCTCCGTCTGAGAAGTCATCACTTCACTTTGATTTGTTATCCATGTTTAAGTATATCAATAGATTATTCATCAAAAGGGGTTTTGGGGTTTTGGGGTTTTGGGGTTTTGGGG